AGTTTTCTTTGAATCTATGTTTTAAGCCAAAAATTGGTCATTAGCTTAAGGTTATTTGATAACCGTTTTGTTTTCTGTTTTTGATTTTTAGTTTTTGAAAAACAATGATTGTTTGATAATCAATTTAGTATTTTCCTTTTTGTTTTCAAAATACATTTTGAAATTCTACATAAATTAAAAAAAGCATATATATAGTTTTTAAAAACAAATTTCTATTATTCAAAATCTTATTTTTTCTTATGAAGGTTTAACTTTTTTTTATCCGACATATTTACTTCTAACAAATGTCTTTTTCACTATAAATTTTTTTTCTCCATAAATATCTCTAAAAAGTTTTAATATTTATCATTATTTTTCTTCTCAAAAGTTTTCATCTCTATGTATATATTTTTTAATTTTTTTTAACAAATCACTGTCATTTCTCTCTCTAAAAAATTAATATTTTATGTCTATGTAATTTCATCTTTTATGTCTTTTCTCTCTTCCTAATCTATTTTTCATTTGAAAATTATATCTTATATTTTCATTCAATTTTCTTTCACCATAATTTTTATTATTTTTTAATTTATTTATTTTCTTGAACAAGCATATTTCGAATTTCATTTTTATCTCTAAACTTTTTCTCACTATAATTTTTCTCTTCCTTTTAATTAATTTTTTTCTTTAATGTATATTTTCCTCTCAACTCTTTTTCACTATTTTTTTTAAACTTTTTTTCTTTATGTCTCTAAAATTTCTATTTCTAAAGTTTATTTTCATCTCTCTAAACTTGTATTTTTATGTCACTACATTAGGATGACAAAAAATTTCCGCAAGATGTGTCTGCACTTCAAGATAGAAAATGCATGTCTCGACGCAATCCCCAATTCCATTTTTTAAATAATTAATATATATTTTATTAACATATTTACTAAATTGCAAATAAAATATTATATATTTTTAAAATTAGTTATTTGTACTAGTGTTTTACTATGTTTAAAATGAATAAGGGGGATAGCAAATAGTATGCAAATAGCTCGATGTCCCGACCATTTTGTGCATTTTGCTATGTCTACATAAAATAGTTATATTGACATGATTAAACTATAATGATAACAAGTCAATTAAAGCATAAGGTATATATACATTTTCAATCATGAGATTGGAAGTTTGAATCCTTGATCTCACATGTACTTAAAAAAAACCTATAATGGTACAAATTGGTTGGCATGTCGTTCGACATGGCTTTTAGGAAACCAATGTCGGTGAGATCTTGCTCTACATCATTTAGCATATGGACAGTTTCAAGACGATCTGATTCCACCACAATAGATGTACTAATTTTTGGGTGAATGGTTTTTAATCCCTCTATTATGACCTATATTGTCAAATAAATTGACACTTTGCCTTAGTACATACATCGTGTATGATTTCTTCTTTCTAATAATTATTTAAGATTCTATTAGTTTCTCAACAATGTAATCAAAATATTTGAAGCATTGTAAAATAATCATTATAACTAGTTTGAACATCATTCCATTGGTAAAGGTAAAATTAAAATCTCCACTCTTGTAATAATACAAAAAAAAAACACTAAAATAAATTCTCAAAGACAAACAAAAGATTTGTTCCCTCTGAAAAAGCTACATCGATCCTTGTATTCATATGATCAAAAAAATAAAAAAAAAAAATCTCATTTTTCATATATAAGAAGTATTAAAGAAGAGATATTTATGTAGATTGAATAAAATAGAAAAGGTATTTACATAAATATAAAAATAAGTATTTTTAAACATAGCAAAAGGTTTGAAACCTTTTAAAAATAATATTATAAAAATGAAGCTCAAATGTAATGTAAATCTCAAAAAGAAATGTTGATATATTTACCAAAGAGAAGAAAAATTATGAAAATTTTTAAAATACACATTAAATCTATATTTATGCTATTTAATAACAATTTTCTAAAAGAAAAAGGATATTTACTTCAAAATTAATAAAATGTCAATCCAATCCAAGTTTAGTAGATAAAGATATAAATTGCTTTTTGGTGAAAAATCTTCATCAATCTATAATTGTTGAAGTAAATAACAAAAGAAATAAATTTTTGATAAACCCTACTTAGATTTAGTTGAATTGTGAATTTATTTAGATCAGTTTGTGTTGAAATAAATTGAACTTACTTGTACGTACATCCTCCATAATTTCTACCCGCTACTATTTATCTTATATTTCTTTTTCACATTTCAATAAATTTTTCAAAATAATTTTAGAATAATAATATTTTAGTGCTATCGTCTTGCTTATCACAATTAAACAACTCACAACTATTTATTTAAACATTCACCTTCTCTCAACTTTCAATTTTAAATGATAGTAAGTAAAAAATACCAACTAACCTATAAGCATAAATATTATTGAGTAATTCATGCATTATACCTTTGAGACATCGGAAAGTTTATATGCTTTTTGTTTGTTTGAGTTTAACAACCATAGAGTGGAAATCAAGTCAACGACTTCTATGCTCGAAAAATATAAGAGTATTTTATCCACTTAGCTATGCTCGAAATATATAAGTCGAGTTAGAATACTTCGTTAAAAGGCATGTAAATTTGAGCGTTACGAAGGAGTGGAAAATTCAAATCCTCACCGGCACGTGAGGTTAAACTATTAACAAAAAAATATATATAGGTTTGAATCAAACAAAAACAGGTGGTTTTTCCCCCCAAGAAACTGGAAAATTGACTAAAAATAGAGAGCCATAAACACAACGCATACGTACCTTTGGGAAGCAGTCGATGATCCAAAGAACACGAGAGAAATTCACTCCCAACCAATAATCTTCTGCTTCAATTTGCTAAAATTTGTTGTATAAAATGCCATCTCCATCCCCTGCGTTCCCTGCAGCAGAGAAAGGCAGCAAGAGGGGCTTTAATTAGCCATTACTTTTCACAGTTTTGTAATTTGCATTTGGATTTGGGGAAAAAAAACACAAATTTAAACCAAAACACGAAAGCAAACAAGCAAAAAAAAAAGAAGAAAAATGATGAACATGATGAACCCTAGAGCCTCCTCTTCTGTCCTCTGTTTCACGCCATTTCTGATCCTCCTCCTGTTTTCACCCTCCGCTTCCGCCTTCAACATCACCAGACTCCTCAATCAATTCCCTCAATTCGGTGCTTTCAATGATTATCTCACCAAAACTCATCTCTTCGAACAGATCAACACTCGCCAAACCATCACCGTCCTCGCCCTCGACAACGCCACCGTCGCCGCAATCGCGCAGAATTCTCTCGATGTTATCAAGCAGATCCTCAGCGCTCATGTGATTCTCGATTACTACGACAATGCTAAATTCAAGAAGCTCGGCACCGACAAGCCTACCGTCCTCACCACCATGTTTCAGGCCACCGGCGACGCCGTCTACCAACAAGGTTTCGTCAAGGTCGTCCACAACCGCAGGGGAGAAATCGAATTCGGATCTGCGGCCAAAAGCGCTCCGTTCACTTCTAGGCTTGTGGAACCCGTCGCTTCTCAGCCTTACAATATCTCCGTCCTTCAAATCAGTTCTCCGATTGTGGTTCCTGGCATTGGTCGTTACAACCTCCCGCCTCCGTCGCCTGAGGCGCCTGAGCCACCGGTTGAGGCTCCGGCTCCGGCGTCGGCTGATGCTCCTGCACCGGAGGCGGACGCTCCCGATGCTGATTCTCCATCGCCGGCTGCCGATGCTCCGTCACCAGCAGCTGATGCTCCGTCGCCGGCGGCCGATGCACCAGACGCGCCGGCGAAATCTCCGAAGAAGGCGGCAGATGCTGATGACGCAGATGCACCGGGCCCTGCCGATGCCGATGCCGCGGACGACTCTGCAGCTTCGCGCGGCCAGATCGCCGGCGCCGGAGTTGTTCTCGGATTGTTGTCTGTTGCCCTTGCTTTCTAAATTGAAGTTGAAATTTAAGCGAAAGAAAGAGAAAAAGAAAAAGAAAGAGAAAAGGAAAAGATGTTAGGATTGTTGATACATTTTTTCTTTCTTTTGTGAAGAAAAAATGGCGGAGATTTCTCCATGCAATGCCTACATTTATCAAAAAGTCCATATGAATGGGGAAAAAAAAGAAATCCAATCATTTCTTTATGATAAAAGACTTATTTGTTATTCATCCGAAATTTGTGTTACTTATATTTCGATATCAAACCTTAAAGAGAAAATCATAAGTTGCTTAAAAAAAATATCAGTACTCTAACGTCAGGTATTTTTAAAATGCTATTTTTTTATACCTCAACGAGTGTCCCAACCAAGGTATTAAATTTTAGGGCAAAATACACTAAAATGGACATTTCGTTCTAGATGGTTTGACCGTGAGTTGACTAACTCTTTTAGATGATGTGGCTGTTAAATGACTTAGTGTATGGCTGATTAGGAAATTTTTATTAATTTAATTTTTTTTTTGCAAAGGAATTTAATAATATTTTTATGAGACTTTTCATCTCCTTCCCCTTTTTTTCTCCTCTCTTTTCCGATGAACTTCGCCGTTGGCCACCTCGTCGCTGCCGCTCCAGCGCTCGTTATCATCTGCCTTCTCGCTCGCCCCTCATCCCAGACCTGGAACAGGAAACCCTTCCAGATCTGAAAGTTTCACCCACCAAGCTCGTGTCTCGGTTATTCATATCACTTTCTCCGTTTGATTCTTGTGCGGCCCCTGAGAACGAAGAAAAGACGAGTGATCTGCTCCCCTTGTAAAAGGTTACAGTAAATTATAGCTTTTTTTTTTTTTTCTTTTTTGCCTTCTGATACTGTTTGTGGTTTCTTATGATCGGGTCATTTGTCAATGAAGCTCTTCGTTTACTTTATTTGACTCTAAATCTGTTTTTGAGTTGCTCGAACTGAAAAGGGAATTGCATTTCGAAGACCTTAATCGTAATCTACCATTGAGGAATCCAATTCGAGAGGCTTGTTCTTGTTTGTAATTGTTATCTGCATTTGGGTTTTGTCGTTTGGAAATTTGTGACTATTACATGTGTGGAATACTTCTTCTGGGATAGGAAATTTCACGATTTCTAGGGCTAGAATTAGCTGCGACGTGCTTTGTGATTGGATTTCTTACACTCATTTGGTGCAGAGAAGGGATTTTGAGATGGATGTACAAATGAAGGACGAAAAGAACATGGAAGAGGAAGATAATGTTGAATCTGAAAGATTTTTCCGTACAAGGGAAAGGCTTCTGCCCTTGACGAAAAGTTGGAGAAATCAAGGCTTGCTGAAGCCAAGCCCATCTCCTTGTAAAGGCATTTCAAACGGCAGGGAAGAGGTGGCGGCCGGCGACGAAGCTCACCGAAAAAGGGAAGAACAAGGAGATGAAAAATCTACCCACCATAAAATATATATATATATTATATTAATAAAAATTTCCTAATCAAATATACAGTCAGCCATTTAACAGCCACATCATCTAAAAAAGTTAGTCAAATAACAGTCAAACCATCTTAGAGACCATTTAGAACTATTTTGTAAATTTCAAGAACTAAAAGTGTATATTTTAAAATTTCAGGAATCAAATAAACACTTGCTTCAAACTTTAGGGATCAAAAGTATATTTTGCTATAAATTCTAACATAGATGACCATCACAAAATTTGAATACATTCCTTCTCAATTAACCCTAATTATTTTAGATCGATAAACCCTAGGATAGTTACAAGTTAAATATATGTTGACATCTTTAATATTTTGAAATGTATTTAATTTAGCCTTTATTGTCAAGAAATTTTACCTTTAGTATCTTGGGTTTCTACAATTTTCCATTATATATTTTTTGTTGGTAAAGATTAGAATTGGTTGACAAGCATGATACTTGAGTTGGTTAATTAAGACAATTATGCCGCCTAAGAAAAAATTGACATTTCTGGCCACTTTTTAGAAAATTGGAGGAAAAGTGAAAGCTTCATTCGTAATGTTGTCCTTTCTTGTTTCTTTTCTTCATTGAGAAAGATGAACATCTGATAATGGTTTATATTTTTCATTTCTCTTTTTTAAGAAAAGTTTCTAAAAAGAGAAATGTTTCTAAAATGGTGTATAAAGGATGATAACAACAAAATCAGGTGACTTAGTTTTTTTTTTTATTTTCAATATTTTTTTCGAAACATAAACAAAAATATTATTTTATCATTTTTAACTTATAAAGTGCATAATAAATATTTACTTCTAAAAAAATAAGTTGTATATAAAACTTAAAGAACAAAAAAAAATGTTTATCAAATGTTACCTTTTTCAATTAGAAAAAAAAAAAAGAAGAAACAAAAACCAAGAGACATTAAAATTATACAAGTACCACCATGTAAGCTCATTATTAGCTAACTTTTAACATTCACTTATAGGAAAGATATAATTGACAAAATGTTAAAATATAAGAGACTAAAATTTTTTTAAAAAAAAATTAACACTCTTTTGACTAAAGTAGAGTAGTATCCATATAAATGGGCTTAATCATAAAGCAGGAGACAGTACGGACCGAGAGAGGCCCAAAAATCATGCTATGAGTATGGACTGAAACAATGGAGATCGGTTCGGCCTTGTCTGTCCAAAACGGTCAAATGAATTATCATTTCTGAAAAAAGTACAATATTAATGAACAAAAATCTAATTCCATACACATCATAATTTGATAATTTAGGTCTGAAAACACAATCAAATCTTTCAAAAATACATCTTTATTTCTCCAACTTACAATTATAATAACATCATGTTTCTAGAAGACTTTAGAGCCCTTCAGAAAAAGAAAGAGGAATATTAGACATTTCTACTAAAAAAGTATTGTTGATTTTCAAAATGTTCATTTTTTATGATAATTATTTACTTGCAAAAAAAAAAACACCCCCACTTGCAATTATCACGAATTTACAATTATATACACATTAATACACAAACTCGATGATACAGAAAATGAAGATTAAAAACATTGCTTTCCAACCAAAATAGTACATCAACTCTTCTCCTTCCTTTAAAGTTAGAGGTTCAAATCATCATATCCCCTCCACTAAAAACAAATCCAAACTTATTTGAAGGAACAGATATTGCGTACCTTTAAAAATGTGGGACTCTACCTTTTATAAAGGAGTACTAAAAAATGACACGTTTCAATAGTTGCATCCCGTTCTTGTCACCTAGCGGATATATATTCTAAACCAGTTGTTAGAAGACCATTCTCAATACTTTACTACGTTGGCACCTTCCTTCTCGTCCTCGACGCATCCAAGCTGAGGCCCCATGCATGTGTCTCAATTGGTTTTACCCCTAACCAAAAGCATTGCTTTTCAACTCCCTGGTTCTACCATAAGTAGCATAGTATTTCAACCAATCCCTACTTCATAAAATATAATTCAATTATTCATGGTAATTTGATAGTACCCTGTCATTACATCCAACGAAATTATAGGTTTAATCATAAGAGATATTAACAACAAACTATTATGTACCAATAGGTGACTTATTTATTGCATCATCATTAATTAGTAAATACATTGAAGAGAATCTCAAGAACAATTTTCAAATTATTTAATTGGAGAAGTACGCAAGGATATCAAAAGCATTAAAAAGATTATCAATTAAAATTGGTAGTGACAACATTTATAATATGTACTTATACGTAGAAGATACATTTAATCAAATTCAAATTAGCCAGTAATATTGAACAATATCTCGATCATAAAGGCACTCTCAAAAAATTTATACTTATCATCAAATAAGTATTTAAGATTGACAAAAAAGAATCCAAAGAATATGACGTTAATTAATGAGAAAAAAATTGAAAGCATAAAAAAAAAGTTCCGTATATTGGTCTGTGAACTTATTCTAATTGCAATCAATTTTAAATAAGAGAATATAGAATCACACTCATGAACTACTATTAGATAATTACAAATGTAATGTGTATGCATGTATCTTTGCTACTAAGATATATTACTTTAGTAAATTAAAATATTAATCAAAGTTTGTAATGAAGAATCCAAAGGACATCAAAATTAAGGTATTAAATACTCTCCTATAGCTAAACTAAGTATACTATAAAATAAAAAGATGCATGGAGTACATATGCCCTGCCAACTCTCATATATATGATTTCTTTTCCTCTAGCCTTTAGGAATAACTTCCTTAAGGTTGCTTAATCAATGCTATTAACTTATGGCTATGGGGAACATATCCCTTATTTCATGTATTTAAACTAATTAATCTACTCCTGGCCGCAACCTATGAAAAATTTATTATTTCTCTCTTTCTCCCCTCAGAAATTCCACGACAATTTGGATTCTTTTTGCACGTTACATATATAGTTTATGAGTTTATAAAATGATAATGCTAGAGAAAAACATACATTAAGGCTGTCATGCATTCTCAATAAAATATACAATTGATGAGTTTAGAAAGTGAGAATCCTATTGATTCGTGATTCAAAAAAAGAAGAAAAAATCGTGAATGTTTTGAAGTTTAATTAGGAGTGGAATGTTATTTTAAAAAATGAAATCTTTAGGATATAGGAAGTAGATATTAGTGAATCCCTAGGTTAATCAACTTTCTATTATAGGAGAATAGAATATAGTTTTAAAATATTTATCATTCAGGAGATAATCAAACCAGATAAACTTCAATCATCTTACAACTTGATCTTAATTATCTTAATTAAGCATAAGCTCTAACAAGTAGAGGGTGTCCTTCAGGAAAAAAATGTGGTTTGATGATTGCTTAAGGAGAGATTTGATGGTCTTTAATATTACCGAASAAGTCAAAACGAACTTAACTCAACAGTAATTGACATGTATCTCCGACCAATAAGTTATGATTTCAATTCTCTACCCCACATGATATACTAAAAATATATATATTACCAGACAAAACATAAGGAAAGATTAATTTATAAAGAAAATATCTCAATTATTATTAAGGAAATTATGATCCAACCATGACAAGTGCTTCAATTAACTTATAAGGTAATCTTAATTTAAACCTATTAAATAGATGGTGTTCTCTAAAATAATAGTACTTTGTTCGTAGGATGATTATGCTTGAGGAGAAATTTCGTAGACTTTATTTACAAGGGGTAAGACATGTAGCTAGAAAGAGGGAAGATCATGAACTTATAAGAAAAACATCTATATGAAACAAAGTGTAAAATCATTTAATCCTCCAACCTAGAGCAAATAAATATTATAGTAAGCGATAAGAAGATGAGGACGTCTACTTTCCTAATACTCCTAAAAGGAAAGATTTAACAATAATAAAAAAAATTTATTTTACTTCTAAAATTTTTTTTGGACTATTTGATAACTATTTCATTTCTAGTTTTTATCTTTGATGATTATGCTTGTTAGGCTCGCAAGTTCTCTAGACTATTTATTTTTCTTTCAAAAACACATCTAAATTATTACCCAAATTAAAAAAATGAAAAAAAATTCCTTTCAAATTTTGGCTTAGATTTTTAAAAATGTTTTTAAAATTTGATAGCAAATCAAACAAAAACTTGGATAAACAGTGTTTACTAGCTTTATTTTTAAGCTCGGTTTATAAACCAGATCTTAAAAAGAGTTGTTTTCTATAATCTTCATGATCAACGCACAGAACACATTCAAATTACAAACCTATCAAAAATAATTTATACAAGAACCATACCCCAAGAGGCCATAGTAGATTAGATAACATCCATCTAGTTAAAGGGGGGAATTTCTTATCATAGTATCCAAAGGAGGTTATATTATCCATCCAGCCCAACGTATTCCACTTAATTTCGTACCAAACTATTCAACTCAGTCAAGAAAATTAAGAGTTTATCATCATCATTATCCTATCATTTCTTTTCTAAACCTATGTGTGTGAACATAAAAAATTAAGCTGATAAGATGTAAATGGCATATCAGAAAGTACCTCACAAGAGATTCCATTCCATGCGTATACCAATGGAGAAAGCAGACCTTTACCCTCATAACTACAATATTATCCATCAAGAAACCCAAGGCAAGCTAGCAATAACTATATATAAACATAACAAGAGGTATGAAAAATTATTGGATGTAATGTTATACGTCCTTAACAAAATGAATTTGTTTGAAAATGATAAATTTTATGAGAATGCAACCAAAGTTTCACACTGACTATGTAAGAGAAAAATCGTTAGTATATAAGTAAAGAACATCTTTATTAGTACAAAGTCTTTTAGATGAAATCAAAAATAAAATCATCTAAAGTAAATAATATCGTATCATTGTGAAAATGTAGAGGATCTGTTGTCTCTGAATAAAAAAGATGTCGGCGAGCACAGTCCAGCTGGCTAAATGGAACTTACTGTAAAGCCTCTTCCCCACGAGGACAACTGGACTACGTACCTAAAGGGAATTTTTTTTCCACCTTTGCTTCTTTCGTAATCGGGCCATATATTTCATTTTCCCTATAAGCTTTTTGACAATACAATCACTGCATACGTATATGAGACTGTGACACTTTCCGGTAGTGGAGGCTACAAATTAAACTACTTTTGTTTTTCTCTCCCACAATGGACGATTCTTCTGTGTATATAAAAACTTGAAAGATAAAAGTTAGCCCAAGTTGCTATATAAAATTTGTGGAGTACTGTTCAATTGAACTTTGCAAATTAAATAACTTCCCCTCCTCCCAGAATCCCTTAGGTAATATCTACAATTATATATTAAGTTGAAATATGCAATGTTATTCTAGGTGATCAGCTATGTTAGAGAAGCTTTTAATTAAAATAAAAACTTAATGCTTGGTGGCTTTTTTGTCCTCCAAAATTCGAACACCCTTGTGAGATGGGAAAGTAAATAGTTAGGCCTCCTACAATGTCTACCTATGAATTTGACGAATAAAAATACTTATTTGATGTCAACGAAAATCTAATTTTTATCTCGTATTTGGAGGCCCTCTAATCTTCCTCCAAATTTACGAAAGAAAAAGTGTGTGCTCTTTCCACCTTGTGTGTTGTTTTGCACTATTTCTTACAGTTTGAATGGTACGCTTATGAATTATATCCAATATAAATCACTTTCTTTTACGAACTCCTGAATAAATAAATGAAAACTAATGGTAAAAAAAACCAATCATGGTAGGACCTAATGATCAATAAAGAAATAGTAAAAGACTGGGAAAGAATGAGTTCAAACCATGGTAGTCATCTACTTAACTGACACTTATAGATATTAAAAAAGAAAAAAAAAGAACTAGTTTCAAAGAGGGTTCAAAATGTTATTAGAAGTATGTATTTTCATAAGCAAGTATTTTGAGTGTAAAATGAACATTTCTCCAACTTTCCGAGGAAATCCTAATTTTTTTTTAGGGTATCCAGAATTTATCTATAGTGTTGATTGTAACGCTACTACACTCAAATGTTAACCATAAAGTGTTTATTACAAAATTGTGATTATTAAAAAAAGATGATTATGAATACTACTACTATTTACTAAGCACACTTAAATTTTCTTTTCAAGAAACTCGCTAGTTAAATAGCTTGACCTAAGTCTAACTATCATGTGCCCAAAATTGAAGAAATATATTATTATGACATAAATTTACACAATGCGTGCACCTCTCTATACATTCCTAGTATATTACCAACAAGTCATGGTTTGTACTGTTGAATTATGAGTTTTTTCTTATAACTCAAATTTAATTTTCAGTTTTTAAGTTTCTTTTCTTTTAAATGTTAAATTTAATTTTCTGTTTTTTATCTTTTAAATTTCAGTTTATAACTTGTAAGTTTCTAGTTTTTTAATGTTGTTTTAAATTGTATGTTGGTTATTAAATAGGTCCTTGTGCCTATATAAAGGTGAACTACTTTGATAGGTTTGTATCACCAACATTTGTACTATTTCATTTGTTTATTCACATTTTTTAATCACCTTCAATTTGAAGTTGATTTCTCATCCATTGGTTTCTACTCTCTCATATTACATTTCATATTTCCTCATTGTTCATCAAACATTGATAATTTTACTATTGCTTCCACATTATTTTTATCACTTTCATTTTCTCAACAGTGGTATCATTTTTCTCAACATGTACAATATATTGTAATAGGTAACTATTCCTAATAGGTTCGGAAATATTTTTCTATATTGTAAGAACACTTTTTTGCAGACTACATCACCTCTAAAATTGTTCGTAAAGTTTGGTTTGCAGGTAAAGAAATATTAAAAAAAAAAAAAGAAAAAAAACACTTCAATACTTTAGCAAAAAGATGCATTCATACCATAAATACATACTAACACTCAAAATAATATTTAGGTATTTATCTAGGTATCTTTCTATTCACCAAAGCTGTCAATTTTTTAAAGAATGTATATAAGAGATACTAATCAGTAAACATCTAAATATTATTCGGTATACCTGTATAGGTGTAGACCGAGTGGAAATTTTGGGAGTGGATAATAAGATAAAAACAAATTGGATAAAAGGTAAACAAGAATATCTCGATCTTACCTCACGGCAGGTATAAAGAGAAACATGAAGAAGCAAAAAGACTTCTTTGCTTGAAGGTTGGATGTGTAAAGGCATACATCCACACGCTCTTTCTCCGGAGTACAGCCCTTGTAGGGAACATCTTTTGATCCAATCTCGACAATATGAGGACCACCGTATCCATCTCTTGGCCTCGTTGCTTTCATTAAAACTGATTTAGAAGTCATTCTTAACTGTTATTTAGCCCTAAATTAACAAGAACAAATAAAGTAAATATAGGAAATAAAGTTAAAACTGATGGAGATAGACTTGACAAACTAAAAGTGTCGATAAAGTTATGGAAATTTTATCTAGAGAAATATAATTCAAATGGATTTTAAATCATACAAAATGCTAGAATTGACGTGCCGGCGCCCGCACAGGAGATGTTCTAGGTGAAGGACCATGTAGCCCACGTGATGGCATGTGGAGTGAACGTTTGAATTCTACGCTCATTGTAAGAAGTATTAAGAAGCTGTAAAAGAAAGGATATCCATATACGATTTCATCTCGTGGTCCTCGCACATCAGTTGCCAAATTCAACCTCACTGTGTGGTACGTTTCTTTAGAATATTACCATTCAAATAAAGATATAGGTTTAAATTAAACCAACCTATTAAAATAAGTTACAAATATTTAAGTTGTCAAGTTAAAATTAGGTGATCTAATGTCATATCTAAACATTGATAACAAATCATATAAAAATTATTCATAAATGGTATCCATTAAAACGATGAAAATCATTAGTTATATATAGTAGCAATACTTTAATGGTAGATAAGACAACTACTTGATCTTACTCTATCAGTACCTAAACACATTTTAATTTACCATATTTTAGAGGGTAATATAATATATCTCTATCAGTACCTAAACAAAGATCTATCTCACTGCACTACCCTCAATGTAAAATCAAAACGTACGAATTTAGTAATGCAAGAAATGAGGTAAGCATTTTCAGAAGCCACGCAAAAAGGATCCAACGTTCAAAGAGAAAAACCACCATGCACAAACACTTGGGAACATTTGTTCTCAATTTTGACAACAAAATTAGATAAAATGACCGTAATAATTTTGATGTTTATTTGTACCCTCCCCTAGAGTTGCATGTTTTATACAAAATTTTTCTTCAAATTATCCATTCACTTTTCCACTCGGGAAATACCCCATAACATTACATTGACATCGATCTCATATAGCCCCAGTATCTCCAAATAACCAACCCCCTTCACATGGATAGCTCGTGATCTGAGTGGGAGCAGCTTCTTTTTATTCATTGACCTTTTTGAATAAAGAATTATATATTTCTAGAGTAGTGTCTCCAATTTATAAAGATTCCTCCTCTATATATAGAAAAGTAAAGCTTGAAATAACATATAGAGATTCTTCCTAAAAATCGAACCTAACCACACGGATGGTTCTTGTACCCTAAAATTACACCCTCAAGAGAATCCCTGTACCCTCATATTTAAATCCATTAGGACCCACAATATCTAGATTCTATGCCAAAAGCCAGACATTCCTATCATCTCATATCCCTTTTAATTAATAAACACACCGCACTCCCAAGAGTATTTTCTTCTTGTTTTATTTGCTAATTGTTCGTATATAAACCCCCTCCAACCCCCCTCCTTACTTCACCAGAAAGCTCCAACTTGTCCTACCTAGACAACATATCCTTTCAGACCAACATCAGACATCGAAACTACTAAACCAAAGGCATAAGGTAAGAAACATGTCTGGGGTTTGGGTTTTCAAGAATGGTATAATTCGTCTGATTGAAAATCCTCAAGCGGATTCTGATGGAAGGCTAGGCAACTCAAGGCGAAAGGTATTGATACACCTACCGACGGGCCAGCCCGTGTCATCCTACTCCTCCCTCGAGGAAATCCTCACAGCCTTGGGATGGGAGAGGTACTATGGAGGCGATCCAGACCTGTTCCAGTTTCATAAACGCTCCTCCATTGACCTTATTTCTCTCCCGAGGGACTTCGCCAAGTTCAACTCCGTTCACATGTACGACATAGTCATTAAAAATCCCAATCTTTTCCACGTTCGAGATATGTGAGTTTGGACAGCTCCTTTCATGTGTTTTTCTTTCCATCTCTCCTATGTCGTCATATATATAAAAAATATATAATCCCGCCGCATGCATGTGCCTCGTTAATTGTTTGTCGTGTATTATTATCTTGTAAGAATGGGCTGTTGATCCACTAGTTAGTTTTCTTCAGGTTGGTTGCCTAGTTTTCCTCCGTGGTATCTTACAAAAGTAGAAGATGCGTAATGTTTATTTGTGTAGTTCCATGTGATGATGCGTGTAATTATAGTATATGATCATTAATGTGTTTGTATCATATATATCAATAAAAGAATGGTATGTTTTTTCTCGCCCCAAAACATAAAATTATAAATAAGGCTTCGCGAAGGAAGGAGATACCCACGACAAAGGCTAACTAAAATGTTTTAATATATTCTGACATTTTATATACATATAAATCTTTCTAATTTTAAAATTTTTCAAGAAAACTTAAAGAAAAAATTTTAAATCTAGACTCCTAATATATTTTTTTTAGTTTAAGACGAACTAAAACGGAGCAATTACCAATTTACCAGTCCTTTTGCCCTTGTTATGACGCGGCCAAAAGGGATAGCGCATCTATTAAGCAAAATAGTTAGGAAAGTACGAGGGATACAATTTGTAAGAGTGATGAAGTGACCTGTCTCGTGCTTGTCCGCAAGACCAATATGTGTCATCCCAGCAAAAGACTTCAACTTTGTTAAGACGTGGACAGTATTCCAAGAATGATGGAGAACAATCTGGAGTAAAGGAAGGAAATCCGTATTTGACGTGTTCATCAAGCACCCAAAGGAACACAAATTATAAACCAGTCATGGAAATTAAAAACAAATTTACTGGTGCCCTAAAACATTAATCTGTTCGTTTATTATTTGAGTTTCTGCCCCTCATCCAACAGTGCTTTGGCCTTATTTACTTTTCAGATTTCAAAGATCTTTGCAAAATTGAAGGAATCGCGTTTTCTACGCGAACTACATGGTGCTGCTATAAAACCCAGGTCACAAAGAAAAGACTGTGAAAAGGTGTTTTACCCTACAATCAAATCATTGAATTACTTTCTCAATCACAACGAGCATACAGATGAAGACAAATCAATTATCCAATCAAAAGAAAAATAAAAACAAGAATGAAAGAGACGGCGGTATATATAGAATCATTTATCAATCATATACAATAGGCCCTACGAAGTAGGCTTTTGATTGGGAATAATACCAACAGATGTGAGGTCCCAAGGAAGAGCGAAAGAGAAGTATGGGTTTTCACGTGACAATACAGGTGCAAGGTGCCATGTGTCGAATATGATGTGGGGCATTATATTGGAATTTTTGTAGCCTGTATGCACGTGGAACTGACTCCCTAATCCGAATGAAAAATAAGGTGTGAAAACTGCAAAGTGTCTCTCTATGTGGTCCTGACACGAGTAAGTTTCAGACACCAGACTTAACAGAACGAGTGACTTTATATCTACGTAATGGTAGGATTATTCGTTTTTCCCTGATAATCCCGTACTTTCTTTGTAAATACAGCCTATTTGATTCAATCCATAAATTTTCTTTTCTTCGGGTTCGAGTCTTAGTAAGAAAGACTAGCTAGTTATTATTGTTCGTGTATTATGGTACGAATATACCGCACCAATTTGAGTATCAATCATGAGATTTCATGGATACAAAGTCAATTCCAATAGGCTTATTTGTCTAGTTAATAGAACCTTGAGTATCTTGTTAAATTACAAGTTTAGTTTCTTAATTTTTAAAAGTTGGGCAGGTATATGGATTTTGGTGTCTAATAGTTTCTTAAATTTTTAATTTTGTAACTAATAAATTTCTTAAGTTTAAATGTGATTAATAGGATATTGATCTTTTAATTTTGTATCGACTTTGAACCTCTATTAGATATTTTTAAAAATGGATAAATATATTAAACACAATTAAATTGTCTCCAATAAAATCCCAGCACACCTTTTAGAAAACATCATGACCTTTTAGTTTTATATCTAATACATTTGATAGATCAATGATCTCTTAAATATAAAAATTGAAACTTCATTGACTTATTGAACGCTTTCTAAATTTAAGCAAATATTAGACATACGACTTTAAAATTGAAAGTCTATAGACTTACCAAACACTTTCTAAAATTAAACAAATATTAGACCTACAATTTTAAAAGTCCATGGACTAAATTTGTAATTTATCTTATATCTTACCGTGTTATCGAGTAGGAAGTGGACCTTTAAATTGGTTTAGATTTAGGAACATTTTAGGGATGTGAACTCCTGATTCAAAGACATGACCAAACTTTTATCTACATATTTATTCACTTATTTGAAGGTGTTTGGTGCAGTGAGATCCCAAGCCTTCTCTGGCATCTTCAGGAGATGAAAGAAACTGTCAATTTCGTGGGCCACTCATTCCTCCATTTGAGAGAGCTCTGTCATCTGTAGCATGTTCTTAATTTCTTGATCTTCCTTGAAATGTTTAGCTTGGAAACATGAATGGATAATTCAGGTCACTTATCTTCACATCCCTGCACAATCCATAAGAAAACTAGCTTCTGGTAGTTTCCTTTTTCCACTTTTCATCGCCTCTTTTTTTTTTTTTTAATGTCTTCCCCCCAGTTGCTGGAAGTGTCTAATGACTATTATAACTTCTATTAGGACTGCGAACTCTTTCAAATAAGAGCAAGGAAAATAAATCGACCAAGTGTTATGTCTAGGCTCCGGCACATCGTAGATATAAACTCTATTGTGAAGGAAATTGGCAATTCCAAGGCTCGATTGTATCTTTTGTCGTCTTTGGTGCCCAATTACAATTCAAAGGCTTGATCCCTAATTAATAGAAAAGCAGCTCAAGGGTAGCTCAGTTGGTCAGGACTTGGCAAATTCATTGGACTGTCATGGTTAAATTATCACAGAAACAGAGTAAGTCTGTACTATTTAAATTCCGTTATAAAACTCAAAATCTTGTCACCATCTGAAAGAATTGGCTATCAGCTTCATCCTCTTCCAAACAACTGAACTCAATTGACGCAAACAAATCAGGATTACGATCATCGATTCATCTAATTTAGGAACAGAGCATAGAAAACAAAAAACCAAACACTAGCTCTCATGCCTAAGCAGTCCACGGTTGGAGCGGAGAAGAATGAGGAGAGAAATCCAATATTCTGTTTCTATTCTACGATTTAGAAAACGAGGAAACCGAATCAATCTCGTCAAATTCATTTGAAACTTCTGAATAATTTATTACTAATTTCCACTCCTACTTCCTCAGCAAACAAAAACAACAGCAAAAAAGCGATAAATGCAGTACTGCGAGATAAATGTAGAACAGATGATGCTTACTCTTACCGGATGAAAAGCGTTTGTGAAAGTGCAGATACTTCCGGCGCCGATTAAAGTCCGTTGCCGGAGAAGAGCGCGTCTCTGTAGATGTCGTTGATACATAAGGATTGAAGAAATCGAGCATTTATATCGAATAGGCCGAGGCCGCGAAATAGCAAAATCCGTTTCCCGCCAAATATTGCTTTCTTTTCCCTCTTCGTTTTGTTGAGTTTGAGAGTGAAATTAAGGGGGATATTTTTTTTATATATATTTTATGCTATTTCTTAATCGAAATTTATCTCTCTTGTATAAATATTTGTCAATTTTCATTATATAACATATGTATTTTTAGAAATATCATAGTTTTTAATTTTTTTTTTACCAATAAACGTGTTTACTTTAACTATTAAAGAAAGAAAGATCGGAGGTTCAATCTTCTATCTTTGTATCTTTTCACTAAAAAAAATTTAAATGTAGTCATATATTTGTATTCAAACATTTTTATTATTTATTAATTTATGTTTAAATTTTGTAAGTAGAGATGGTCACTTATGGACAAAAACAGCTATTTTTAACACCACACTAATATGTGGTATACAAGTATTTGTTGAAACTTTTATCCTGAGAACACGAAATCAAATTTCTGCCTAAGCAAATACTATTCAAATAACATATTTTATTAAATTAATGTGAACTATTCTTAGTTTTTTTAAAGTAATTATTTGAGTTATCAAACTGCAAATCTATATATTCGTTCATTTATCTATTTATTGAGTTTATTCAATTTTAATATATCAATGAATTAAAATATAAAAGTTAATTTTCTCACTTGGAAACCCAAAGTTTGGACAATGACCCTTCAACATTAACCTTGACTTGTAAATTGGAGATTTTTTGGTTGGTAAAATCCACCTTGGGCTTTCAAGTTGTAAACTAATTTCAATCCAATATTCAATATTTAAAAAAGTGACATGTTAGATTCTTAATATTTAGAAAATAGTTTTAAATGATGAAATGATGATTCCCTATTTAATAAAGTAATGATTAACTTCAATTCAATTATTATTTCTAAACGGAAGTGTGCTTTTAAGGATCAAAATTATAAATTATATTTTTTTATTCCTTAGCAATACACAATTTAAATAATAGAATAAAAATACGAATTTACGGATTTAAATGTTTGTCAATGTTTATATTAATTATATTAGTTTTTGTTGCACAACACCATATGGGTGTGAAAGGTTTGCCATGATCCTAACTTCCACGATACGTGCATGTATTAAAAATCAAATTGAATTGCAGATGTGGGGAGCACTATCTCCAGCCCATGCTTATTTCATTGCTTATTTAAAAAACTCACGAATCATTTTGTTTTAATTTTTTTTGGCATGTGGTTGATTTTGGTTCTTGTATGTCTTAAATATTCACTTTAGTGCATGTACTTTTAATTTTTATTCATTTTAGTCATTTTGAATGATAAATTTTAGTCAATTATAAAATGTCATGACGTTATTTTAAAATTGTCTTTGAGATCATTGCAAATTTATTCGTGTGTTCAAATTAATTATGAAATCAACAAATCAAATTATGTCAGGTATATTTCTTAGGGTCGTTTGATGATATTGACTAATTATATTAGTTATGTGTAGATCGGGATCAACCCCTGTGTAAGAAAACTCGCATAAGACACACAAAATGCAATAGATAGATAAAGTCACCATTTATTAGAGGTATTCATATTAAGAACTATCAGAACATTCATAATTATCTACACGAATTTAGAGTCATTCGACCATTTATCATGCATTTAGAGATTGAAGATCTAGATAATTGAAAACTCGAAAAGTAAAATACTACGAGACTTCAATAGTTGAGTATTATCTTTGTCAACCAACAAATCAAATAATAAAAAATAGTCGAATAACTTCATCAAGCTATAAGTCTAACAACTTGTTCAAGCGGTCAAATAACTTTATCAAACTTCAACAAGCATAAGATCTCCAACAAGCTCAAAGTCAAAGACTTTAAAATTTCTTCAACAAACTACAAGCTCAAAGCGTCACCTCATTGTTTGGTGCACAAATTTACCAGCCTTCGAAGTTTACATCAAAGAGAAAGTATTATAATATTATATATTATAATATTATATATTAGAGGTCGTAACACTGCGTACATAAATATAAATGTAAATTCATTAAATTTGAGTTACTCTTCACTGAATAATTTCAAAACGTTCATTTTGCTAAAAAATGACCAATTTAGTCGATTTATAAATTTTAACGTAAAATTTGTACGCAATGATATCATTTCAAATTGATTACTCTGTTTGAAGAATCCAGTGAGCCACGACCACGAATAGGCGAAAGCCACTTCAGCCGCGAATTTTGTGTTCTTAATCCAATAGAAAAAGGTAGCTGTACCGTACACGTATGGTTCAATTCAACTATCCATGGCCGAAGTATTTTTGTGGAGGGGATCAATTACCGAACTCTCGTTTTGTGGCTCTATCGAAGCGCACGAATCTCGAAGATGAATTATCCACTTTAACTGATTTTTGAAGTTGATCGTTCGCTGTTCCTCTCCGGCGCCAAGCTCAGTAACGCCGTGTTTCTTCTAATTTGTTTTTTTCCGATTTTAGGGTTTCGATTTTTCGTTTTTGGACATGGATTTTGTCCTCGCGAACTGCACGCATGGCGTCTCGGTTTCTGCTGAACAACGCAGCTTCAGAGGTCGGACACTGTCGAATTGTAGGATTAGGTTCGTGCGAGGAAGGAACAAGAGGCTTTCTGTGGTTAGGATTTCTAATTTTGCTGCAGACGTTTCCGGCAGTAGAACTGCAGCGAGTGGAAGGAGTGATGGTTCCAGTGAGGGTAAGGACTGGCAGGTGCCCAAATCTAGTACTGCCTTGGAGTTGCTCGACATCGAGCGTGGTGTTTGCATACCATTTCGCAAGTATTCTCCCGAGACAGTACGAATTTTTTAACAGTAATTTGTAAGAAACTGAATGTATATTCCATTTTTGCATATTCGTGTCTTTCTCCGCTAATATGGTTTCAAGACCTCATTCTTTACTGCGTGGATGATGTTATTTCGCGCCATTGTTACTCATACTTAATTGTGGCAGTATATTTAATAAGCATCTCTCTAAAAATTTAGCGGAGAATGAGACTGTGATATCATGATAACAATTTTCTAGTATTCTTTTGCGAAATGTCGGCTTTGGTACTGTTAGGGAGAAATCCACTGAGTACTTGTTTAAGCTTGACGATTCAGTATATGATGGCGCTCCAAAATAATATTCGGTTAAGCTTGTCATGTATAACCATTTGAATCTTGTATATAGGTGAGAAATAAGGTGTTGGAATCCAGAGGAGCAGTCTTGTCACTCATTTCGCGTGGTGTAGAGATAGTTTGGAGTCTGGGATTGTACTGGTCCACATTGATGTATGACTGCTTTGTAGGAAGGGATGAAGAAGTTGTTCCGTTTCGCGCTCAGCAGCTTAGAAATCTATTGTGTGATTTGGGACCTTCGTTTATTAAAGCTGGTCAGGTATGTTGCTCTTAAATTGTGGTTTATGTCTCATCAACTTATCAATGTTTGTATTTCGTTGGTTTGTTTTTCTGATCGTCAATATCATAAATTGTTTTGCTGAATGAAATCTAAGCATGTTATGTATTGTAATTTTCCACTACTGTCATCTACCTGTTCTCTCCATCAATATCAAGAAAGTGCCCTGGATACCCTGATCTGTGTCCACTTAATTAAAAGCCAAGCCATATTCACGGACTTCTAAGCTCTGTTTGCAGCTCGATAGGATCTTTTACTGGTTATTTAAAAAATCATGATACGATACTACTGAAATCAGCTCAGATGTATTTGATTACAGATCAAAAGTTAACTTGTAGTAGCCGTGCTTTAAAAGTTAAACTATGAGTAGCCCATTTCAGGCAGTGAGAGCTCTATTTGTCATGTGTTCTAGAAAAGATATATGCTCTCTAAAGCAAAGCATACACGGCCTTTCAGCATCTCATAGTTGTCTATATCTTTCGTCCATTTGGCAGGTCCTTGCCAACAGACCTGATATTATTAGAGAAGATTATATGAATGAACTTTGCATTCTTCAAGATGATGTTCCTCCTTTTCCTAATCAGGTACAATGCTGTTGTCAGCAGTTAATGAATTTGAGACATCCTTATGCACGATCTTATCTTTTTCTGGTAATTTCATGTGGTTTGACGATGCATAGGTTGCATTCAATATCATAGAAGAGGAATTGGGCCGTCCTCTTGAAGCTGTTTTTAGCAAAATTTCATCACAGACAATAGCAGCAGCAAGTTTGGGTCAAGTTTACAGAGCTACACTACGAGATTCTGGCGAGGATGTTGCTATCAAGGTTTTTATGATTTTATCCAATGAACATTATTTCCTCATATTTTCTGATGTTTATATAGTATACATTTTCTAGTTGCATATCTGTTTTAAGAAACTTAGCCTCAGTATTATTATATAATTTTTTGGCAGGTTCAAAGACCCAAGATAGAGCCTATAATATATCAGGACCTTTTTCTCTTTCGTACACTTGCTTCTTTCTTAAATGGCATCAGTCTACAAAAACTTGGGTGTAATGCTGAGCTCATAGTCGATGAATTTGGTGAGAAGCTATTGGAGGAGCTTGATTATACTTTGGTACGGATCTGAACTGTCCTCTATCAAAGTCCTCTTGGACCAAATATCATTGAAGCAACCATAAGTGGAAAGCATGCAGGAAGACAAGTTATGTCTCACTGTTTAATACTTGTGCTAATTTTTCTTTTCTAATTCAGGAAGCCCGTAACCTTGAGGATTTTCTTGAAAACTTCAAAAATGACCCCACAGTTAAAATTCCTCGTGTTTACAAACAACTTTCTGGTTCACGAGTTTTAGTGATGGAATGGATTGATGGTATCCGCTGCACTGACCCACAGGTTTGATTGTTAATATGGATTATTTGGTACATGGAGCCTCTCGGGTACTACTTGAATTATTAACAGTTTACTCATACAAACCAGGCTATTAAGAATGCTGGCATTGATGTTGATGGATTCTTAACAGTTGGAGTTAGTGCAGCATTGCGGCAATTGCTAGAATTTGGGTTATTTCATGGTGATCCCCATCCTGGAAATATTTTCGCAATGCGAGATGGACGTATTGCTTATGTGGATTTTGGCAACGTTGCCGTGCTCAGTCAGGTAAGTTTTTGTCCTAAATGGAAAAATTGAATAAAAAACAATATATTATTTCTCTCATATTCTTTTTGTGTGGCGTTGTTCTTTCTATCTTTCAGCAAAACAAACAGATCTTAATCGATGCCGTTGTGCATGCTGTAAATGAGGATTACGCTGAAATGGCAAATGATTTCACTAGGCTCGGGTTTCTGGCCCCTGGAACAGACGTTGCTCCTATCATTCCGGCATTAGAAGCAATTTGGCAAAATTCTGCTGGGAAAGGGTTATCTGATTTTAATTTCCGAAGTGTCACTGGTAACTTCCCTAGTACCACATATGATCGTATGAAGTTTTTAGTCAGTATAAGCTTCTAATTTCAACAGAGTACCTATAAAGTCAAGATTCGTAATATAGAATTGCTAAGATAGCTGCTCCACGTGTTCCAGGAAAGTTTAACCAGTTGGTTTATAATTATCCTATCCGAATACCTGAAAGGTTTTCTCTTGTTATTCGATCTCTACTGACTCAAGAGGGAATTTGTTTTACTCTCAAGCCCGACTTCAAATTTCTTGAGGTGAGGTTATGTTTTACATAAGCTGCACGTTGCTTCTAAATTCTTATGGTATGTTTTCTTATGTTAGTAGAAGAATAAGTTGCAAAGAGCCGGGCGCCTACTTAATAGGCAGACATCCTAGTTTTTATGTTGGGCAGTCAGAGACAATTATTTCTAGACCCGACTTCTTGTTTAATGAATAAACTATGGCGAAAATCTAGGGTTTTGAAAGTGTTGGGGTATTTCGTGCGCACAGGTTTTTCACAATGTTCCCCTCAATCGAAATACTTCTAAGAATGCTCTTAAGCTACTATTCAAGGCAGTGAATTAGTGTATTTCCGCAAACCCTTAGGGCTTAGACATGGGAGAATGTCTTGGTTTCTTTTCCACTTAACGAATTTTGATTTGTTGTCTCTAAAAGAAAACAGTTTATAAATTGCAAACTACAATGGGCTTGTAAGCACTACCTATGCTTTCATTACCTTGTCCTTTTCTGTTCCTTTCTCATGCTAAGGATCTGATCTCCATCCCCATGCTTGCCATATGTTTGTTGATATTTATTTCTCAACAGGTTGCATATCCATATGTGGCAAAGCGCCTTCTGACAGATCCGAACCCCGCTTTACGTGAACGCCTCATTCAGGTTTGATCAACACTACTCCTATGTATAACAGTTTAATTCATTTTAGTCTAAATAGTTTCTTAATATGGCAATTTCAACACCTTGGATGGGAAAGGGAAAGTCAACACCTTGGTATTCAAAGGCGCTCGTCTTGGGCCACAGTGGTGTGTGCTTTGTAGGAGTGCATTTTGACTGCATTTTTGTGGCCATCTTCAATATGCTCAGGATATCTAGGGTCGTGTTTTTTAGCTGTTTGGGTGTCTTGGATTTGTAATACTGACTGTGAGACTCTGATGGGAGAGGTTTTCTTGTTCCCTCCTTTTTGAGATGAGAGAAAATTTTCGTGGCAAACTTGTTTCTTTGCTATTTTGTGGGGATCTGGATGGAGTGATAATAGAATTTTTTGGAGTTGGAGAGATCAAGGAGTATTTTTGGGAGCTTATTAGAATTAATACTTTCCTGTGGGGTCAGTTTCTAAGTTTTTTTTGTAATTATCAAGATTGGAACTCCTTTCTTTAGATGGGCCTCCTGTTGTAGAGCTGTTTTTTTTTTTTTTTTTTTTGTATGCTCGTATATATGCTTTCTTTTCCATTTTATTAATGAAAAGCTCAATTGCTCACTAAAAAAGTTAGATACTTTATTTCCCATGCTCTTTAGGTTTTATTCAAAGATGGAATGTTCCAGTGGAAGCGTCTTGAAAATCTCATAGTGCTTGCTAAGGAGAACGTAATCAAGATGAGCAGCAATCCCGCATTGCAAAAGAAAGACCTGTCTGTAACTTTCTAGTTTCTACAGTCAACTCTAGCTTATGTTCTTTCCGCATATATACCATCAACTTGTTTCTTCTCGGACAACCTTTTCAGGCAAGGTTCAAGACAAGTTGAGAGGAAGCTTGACCTCAAAGATACAATCAAAGACGGGGCTCGCCTTTTCCTCCTTGACGAAGGAATCCGTCGACAGCTTCTTCTTGCTTTGACCGAAGACTCGCAGCTTCATGTTCAAGAGGTCAGTAATCTTCTTTTTCCCTTCTTAATTTGATTCCATTGGTTTAAAATGTACTTAAATGTCACTGCCATCTTTGTTAGCTCGTGGACGTCTACAGATTACTCGAAGATCAGATAGACATACCATCAATGGCTTTGGAAGTAGCCCGAGGTAGAGCCTTACAATCACTGATCGTTAAAATTTAAGCATTTAGACAGTTAAACATCGACACATTCGAGTCGAATCAAGTCGAAACCTAACACTGAATTCAACATTCCCCCGCGACCACGACCGGGGCTGTCTTTTGCAGATTTCCCATCAGTTGTCCGGGACCTCGTGCTTGCTTGGAGCGATTCCGTTCTATCAGACAGATAAAAGATAGCCTTATTTAGCCACCTATAGAAATACAATTTCAGTTCATACGGAAAGCTAGTACCGAAGATGGCTTTCTGCCGTTATACATTATAAGCATTAACCAAGAGCATTTGTAAATTACAGGGAGGTATTTTATCTTTACAGGCATATCATATATTTGTATAGAAAATTACTTTCGAGTAAAAAAGGGATTCTTCTCTGAGGAACTAATTTTAGCCTTTTTCTTGTGCAAGAAAATGTATTTTTACACTGGAACTGAAAGGCTAAATTAATGTTTCAGTCTATAAAGTATCTTTTTTTCTTTTAATTTAAGTCGGTAATGTTTTAACATTTTTTTTAATTATATTATTCTTTCAAGTTAAAATTGACTGATTATAAGTTTATATGTACTATTCTTAATGAGTTTGTAGTAATTTAAAAAAAAAAAAAAAGTATTATGTGGAATAAGGATAAATTTTTTTGCCCAACTTATATATTTGGAGGAAATACTAGAAATTTTTATTACTTAGATGACCTACTTTTTTATAAATTTGTGTTCGTCTCACTAAGTATTATGCATATAACTTTATCACCAGCAAATTTTGACATTCACCTCATGTGAATTGTATGGTTGAAAAATATTAAAGCATAAGAACTGAATTGAAAATTTTTAAATTGTAGAAACTAAGTCTAAATTAAAAGAAAAAAAAAACACTCCAAAGGCTAAAATATATATTTAGGAAATCACTATTTAAATAGCGATTGGTGCGAATTGATCGATCTTGCAGATATGCCAGTAGCACAAAACAAAAACAAAACGAAGGCAAATGATTGTTGCCTATTTATTTCTACTATTGGACAATTGACAAACCATATTTTTAAGTATCTGTGGCCGACGACATCATTTTCAGGAACTAAAAGTTTGGAACAAAATTACGAAGTGTCTTTTTCAGTTTATATATATATATATATATATAATATTATTTATAACATCAACCAATTAAAATTTAGAAGTTTGAACCAATGATCATTCTTATCAAATGACTGAACAACGAGGAGTAATTTATTTATAATTTTCATTTACTTACCAATCCATTTTCCAAACACCCTGAAATCTTAACTAAATTTTGGAAACTACGGAAAAATAATCTAGAAAAAAAAATTTGAAAATCTGTTTTGGTTTCTAAAATTGACAACCATTTCAAAAATATAAGGTGAAAAACCGAGCTATAAATCATGAAAGCTTATCAAGATGTTATAAATCATGAAAGCTTATCAAGATGTTAGTAAAGTGTGTTAATTTTTTTCTACATTAAAATTGAACAATATCAATTACGTCAAAGCAATAAGCTTTTCTTAAACTTTTTGATATGATATATTATTAGTAGCTCAAAGATACTAGTAGAATCCACATTTTTTTTTATTATGCGAGTATCTAAACTATAGCTTGTATGTGCCTCTCGACTAATCTCATGGGACGATTATTTGACTCTATTATATTTAATAACCAAAGTAATTCATAGAATATTATTATTTTATCTGCGAGTGTCCGAACCAGCTTACACGCATTTCAACTATCTCACGGAGCAATCGTTTGACCCTACAATATTTGTTGAACCATGATATTAGTAGGATCTACCTACCTATTAAATGTCATAAAAATAGGTCTATACAAATAAACCATATCAAAAAGTCAGTCACTAGGAGCTCGGTATGTCAGCGGTCAGTTCATCTATTCAAAAGGCAAGTTTACCGAAATAAGTCAACAAATTGTGCTTATGCATTAGAGATCCCCATCTAAGCAAGTGTTAAGACACTAGTATAATTTCGGAATTGTGGACAATGAGTAAGAGACTAGTATGTAAGCAAGAGCATGGCGTTTTAGAAAAGCTCTAGAATAAGCATTGGTTTGGGGTTCAAGCATGTCGAGAAGCCGTGGTCGAGAACAAGACAGTTCTAAATGAAGCATGAGAGGGAAAGTTAGATCAGCTGTACATTAAAGCATCAGTATCATCAGTTTGGCACCTTTCAATCTCTTTTGACAATATTTGAGTAAGCAGAAAATACATCCCTAGGACAACCCCATGTAGAAACAAAACAAAATAGAAAAAAGAAAGAAAGAAGCCAACACAATGTGAGGACTTAATGTTTTAACATAACACATAACATAAACCTTAGAAATTTCTACGTCTAAATGGTTCCTCTATTTTCTTAACTCCGCCTCATTTTTCGGCACTGCAAGAAAATCGAAAGAAAATGGAAATAATATTTGTGAGATGGATGGGAAAAGAAAATTGATTGTGCTTAAAAGATGTCTCGTTTGAGTACTTAAAACGGAGACCAAAAAAAAAAAAGTGTAAGAGTCATGGAAATTTGCACACCTAGTTGTCGTAAAAGCGGGAGCGACGTCTTCGGGAACTAGGTATGGGATGAGGAAGACGAATTAATCAAGTTAGAAAAGAGAAACTCAAATAAACTGTAATTACAATGCAACATCCAAGCTAAAGAGCTAAGAACTAGATGCAACCAAAGAAGTCCTATCTGATTCGTAAGTAAAACTTATCATTTTTAAAAATTTTTCAGGTCTGTTTCAGCCAAAACATGTTGAAAAATTGTGTAAAGCCAACAACTAACTAGTGATAAGGTAAATAAATGAAGAGAGCCCACAGGGAAATTTAAGGGGAAGCATTTTCTCACCTTCTATGGTTGGCATTGGCACTACCCCTTGAAGAGACATTTCTACTCACAAGTTCATCATCAATTTCTTCTACCCCATACTCTGCAAATTCTACTGAGGCCACCGAACTGTCGTCGGAATTTGATAAGTCATTACTCAAACGGCGACTTCCCCGTCTCGTATCAGCAATTCTCGACCTTCTTCGATTTCTCGAGTTCCTGAAATTGTCAAATACTTGATACAAGATACAAGAGGTCCACCAATTGCCTTCATCCCCTGGAAAATCCTCAAACTCGTCTCCGCTTTCATCATCTCCATATTCAATCACATAGTCTCCAAACACCACACCGCGGGGAACTTCTGAGTGAATGGTACTCAAGACATCAATGATCTCGGAGGACTGCTGAAAATTGTCCCAGTCGAGCTGCCGAGCAGGATCAATTTTTGAAGGACGAGCGTGAGGATGCTCCAGTTGAGCATGTTGTTGTAATTCTAAATATGTACCCATAAATCTACATTGTTCCTCCTCACAACAACGCTTCTTCTCGTCCAAATGTATGCGGGCCTCATCAACAACCTTCCATCCACTAACATCCCCTCTACACAAAGGACAACATAATTTGCAATTATCTTCCGACGCCACTGGCTCAACGTTGATTGGAGGAACTACATCAGATGTCGATGGCGGAGCTGTGTTGTGTGCATTTTTAAAACGATCGAGACAATTCGAGTGTAAATGGTCAGTATCACACACGAAGGGACGGCATCCCTTGTCATAAGACGAGCATTGCAGAAGTACAGCATTGTGAGGAAAATCCAAGCATATTGAACAAATCACATCATCCCAGTTTGGATTAAACTGATTAATATCCATGGAAGAAATCGGAAGTTGAGTCCACTTTCATAGAACACTCAATGGACAAAAAGGAACTACGTGCACCTCAGTCGAAAAAAAAATACTAATCAAAGAAACAGAATCTCGTCATTGATCAACCAGGCCCAAAACGACACTACGAGATGACAGAATAATACACTGAAGAATTTTTGAAGGCCAGCCCTTGCACCAATATAAATGGCTGCACATCTGGAAACAACACCAAAACTTCAATTAGGTAACTAACAATCAGCAAATAAGATTCTTGATAAGAACAATGCAACCCGTAGTTTCGATTCTACACTCTCTGGAAGAAAACTTCTACGGGACCATACTTTTCAAAATTAATATAGAACCAATAGTAACAACAATTTGCTGCTTTTATTTTTCAAGAAAGGAGATTTTTCATTTTCCCTTCCACTCTTCTACAATCAAATTCCAAATTCTCATTTATTCTATGCCGTCTCATTATTTTATGAATATCATCGGTATTCACCCCAAGCCTTTAGTAGACAAAAATCAGGGCAAGAACCACTTTTAAAAGGAACAAATATCAAATGCCATTTACATTTGATCCTGACAGCGAAATAGAGAGAGAGAGAGAGAGAGAGAGAGAGATGAAGAATCCGAAAGTCAAAACTCTAGATGATTGAAAATTCGCAAAAGACTCATAGTCAAGGGCTCAAAAAAAAAAAAGGAAAAAACAATAAAAACCCCGTCCAAAAATGCTTTGTTCAATGCGATTACTGAAAGAACACGCACAATTCACAATCACCAACAAAAACGATTGGTTCCAAATTCATCAATTCAAACAAAAAACGGCTTTCAGACGGCTAATACAAGAAATTAGGAGACAAACCCAGAAAAACCCAACCAAATCCGCAAGCAAAAAAACACAAAATCCAAAGAATCAAAGTAAAACAACTCCAGATAAACAAAGGCAACGAAAAAATCCAAGCCGCAGCACCTGAAATACAGCAAAAAAATCTGTGGAAAATGGAAACCCCAGATGGAGATTGAGATTTAGACCTGGAAAAAGAGAGGCGGAGACTTTTCACGCAAGAGAAGAAGAGAGTATCTGCAAGTTGAGCCTGGAAAAAGGGTGAGAGAGTCGTCAGAAGGGTGGGAAGGCATGTTCCTCTTTATAAACTTTCTCTCTTTTTTAATTAATTTATTATAAACAAAATTATTTGAGAAAAAGAAAAAAAATTGCCGTTCCGATGCACAGACCATATTGCTTTCAGACAATCGCTATTGCGAGCCGACGTGGATGGCTGTCATTATTGTAGAGTTTTTTTTCTCTTTCTTTTTTGTTTATTTCTTTTTCTTTTTCCATAATTTCTTGTGGACTCAAATCATTATTTTTTCAATATAATAAAATATAATCACAGAATAAAGCGACACGTTGTAAGTTGTATCCTTTCGTTATTAAATCAAATCTTTTCTTCTTTGAAACATTATTATATTAAATCTGACGTCTAAATATTTTGCATGAATACAAATATTTTAAATATTATTCTAATCTCGATATTTTTGTATTTAGTTGATTTTTGTTCGTGTAATTTAAAAATGTTAGTTTTAGTCTCTATATTTTCAACTTATATTGATTTCAATTGATGTACTTTCAAAATGTTTGTTTTGATCTGAGGTCTATCTACTTTTAAAATTGATAAATTTGGTCTCTATTTTAAAATTTTTAACACAAAATTTATGCCTAATGAAAATCCTATTATACAAATTTATGGTTACATTTCAAAAAACTTAGTGATTAAAGTATTACACTAAGATCGAAAGAAATGAGATAAAAATATAAATTAATGGATCAAAATGACTACTTCTCAAAAGTACATAAACTAAAATGAACAAAAGTTAAACGGATCAAAATAGACATTTACAAATACATAGATCAAAAGAATCAAAGTTAAAAGATATAAATACTAAAATAGTCCTTAAAAAAAAAATATATATATATATATATATTTGTTTGTTTAAGTACTATAAATTTTGAATAGATTTTTTTATAATGATTATGTTTTTAGAAAAGTTCAAATTGTTTATTTATTTTCCTTTGCCAAAAAAAAAATGTTTATTTACTATTCTTGTAGTTATTTTAATTTTTGCACTTTTTAAAATACTTTTTGATATTTCAGCCAATTTTTTAAAAATAAACATATTTTGAAAATCAACAATTTTTGAAAATTTACTCGTCTCCCCCTTATTTACTTCTTTTGGAATTGCAGCCTGTTTACTTAAAAAAAAGGTGTATTTTGTTTATGAATCATGCCAATTTGTATAAAGTTTTTCTTTAAATAATTAATAAATAAAAAAATATAGGCATAAGTAATTTTATAAGCTTGATATTCAATAATACAATATTGTTATTAAATGGACCGTACTTTTAAAAATATATATTTCGAATTTTTAAGACATTTTGAAAAGTATATTATAAAATTAAATACAAGGTGTAATTTAAAGGGAGAAGATAATAATAGACAAACGAAAAGTGTACACACATATCTGTTTTTTATATTGGAGATCGTGAACAAAATTATTATCAAACGGACTCTAAATCGGTATAATTGTATGTCTGTTAAGTTTTATTTATCTATTTATTTAAAATTTTGACTTGTACTTTTAATTTCATTATTGTGTTTGTAACATTTATTTCTGATTCGTTTCAATCACCTTTTAATGGCTCCCTTAATTATGTGCGAGGAATTTCCCTCGTCCAATAATGGGATGCGGACTAGTCCATGTGGAACTCTATTGTCCAATATCTAATGAGATAAACACAAAGGTGCCAAGTACTAAAAAAATGTGAGATCTTTTTAAATAAAAGAATTTCTATTATAATTTAAGAAATGACATTTATGGCTGTACTAAGTTTTCATATGTTCATGGGTTCGATATCGATATAACGAATTGAATCGATATTTCTATTATATCACTATCACTAGTATGAACATAATATTAATAATAATAATTTGTAACTTATTTAAAAATAGTTAAATGACTTTTTGTAAATTTAAATATTTTTATGAATTTTTCAAAATATCAATACATTTTATCAACATTTACACAACACTGACATTTAATACCTTGAATGTTACACTTATATGTGCTCATACACGTGCTTAGCAAGATAATTATTCATAAATTGTTTACAGCATTCTCGTTGTTTAACTAATTAATTGCAAGGATGAATTTAACGAGTTAAAATATGATTTGTAGAAAAATGTTAAAAAAATCCAGTCTTAAAATTTTGTAATTCAACAATTGTGAAGGTGGGTCAATCATCAAACCTCGAGAACGGTAAAAATATTTATTAGTCGTTAAAAATTGTAATTGATATATTACTTTGCCATATAATATCCGCCTCATCTATTACTACTATATCGTATCAACCAACTTAAGTGATTCAATTATACGTACATTTTAGTATGTTGATATTTATATTCGAAACTACACCATTCAGATACCATTCAGATTTCTAAACATTTGATGACAAATTAAGGTGGTGAACAAAATAGTTTTTTTTTTTAAATTCACTAACTAAAATAGAATAACAAATGGAAACACAAATCTTAAAAGAAAATTTCAAATTCAAATCCCCTAAATTGAGATAAAGTGTACATTTCACTCCCTTTTTAGGGTTTTTTTTTTTCTCGATTTTGAATGAAATGAAAAATTTTACTTAAAAACAATTTCAAAAAATATATCGAACCCAATTTAAATTGATTTGTTAGTAAAAAAGGGTGTGCCTTAATGGCTACTTATTTGCAATAACAAATTCCCATAAATTTATGGTATGCTTTTTTACTAGTGTTGAAACAGTACTCTCAAGAAATTAATGCATGATCAATGGCCAAAATACAATAAATTAAATGAATGTCTTTTCCATCAATTTATTTATTTGAGAGACAATAAATACAAAAGGAAAAAGGAACATACAAGACAAAAAAAAACATCTGGGACAGAGAAAACTTTCAACATATCACAAAGAAAATAATAATTTGGGCAAAATGAATGAAAAAAAAAAAGGTTATTGTGGTGGTTAGAAAAAATAAAATAAAATAAATAGAAAGAAAAGGCACGTCAAACACTAAACTCAACCATGTTTGCTTATCATATTTTCTTTTTTATTCTCTCTTTTTGATTGCTTATCAAGTGAGATAATATTCTAAACAAATATTAATAAATTTACTTAAAAGGGGAAAAAAATGGGGGTAAAAAGGATGAAGCATGCTGTTCTTTATTAGCCTTTTTTTTTAAAAAAAATTTAAAATTCACCACCAAATTGGGCAAGCAGAGCATGCTTCATTATAAAGGCAAGAACTAAGTGGCTCTATTAGCAACCAAATCTAAACTATTTAGTGGGATGATGTGGCTTGTATTTTAAAGTTAACATGTGAGTAATTAAAAAGAAAACATAAATATTTTCTTAAAAAAACAAATATTACTTTCTGTTGATCAAATTAAATAATGCAATTTACATTTTTTTAAATTTAATCCACTTTTTAAATTCAGCTCATCTCAATGGATTATTATCAATAACTTTAGGTTGACGTTTAGAACCTCCGCCCACATTTATAAAATTTATAATATTAGAGAAAGATAGTAGTACCTAATATAATTTTTTTAAACTTTTGTATTAGTAAAACAAGAGTGAAAATTTTGAACTTTCAATTTTTGTATAATATGTATGGTTTAATCCATATTTTTAAGTAGGATTTAAATACTATTTTGGTTAATCTTGACTTTGGTTCATGTTGGTAATGTAATTTAAAAGGTTTGTTTATTTTAGTTACTATACTTTGATGTTAGTTATTGTAGTTTTAAAAAATGACCAATTATTATTATTATTATTTTTTTTACAAAATTTGAACCACAAGATTTATAAAAACTCTTTAATATAAAATTATGATTTCATATTTCAAGAAATTTAATGAGCGAAGATTATACTAAAATTATGATCTAAATAAATAATATATAAAAAAAATGAATGAACAAAAAATTTATAAATCAAATAAACCTTTCGAAACTACATGTATTAAAACAAACAAAGATGGAGACTTTATACAAGAGAAGAATAGAATGTCTCTTAACTCAAATATTAGTCTTGCTTTATACATTTCGGTGGGTGTGGGCCCCATCTTAACTCAAATATTAGTCTTGCTTTATATATACAAATAAAAGGATTCATCTTTTATTATTCTTTCATTTATTTGATTATTTATTTATTTTATCCGTATGAAGAGATGTAGATGGCGTGCTTAAATCTTAACCACAAGAAAAATCTCAAAATAAAAAAAATTGGAACATACGTCATATCACATTGTAAAACAAAATTGATAATTCGATATTTTATCTTATAAATATAAATATAATTCTTTTAAAAAAATCTTGAATAGAGGCAGACTACTAGCATGGCCGTGGGCTTATAGGACTAAATTTGGGCCGATCAACGGGCTGAGCCCAAACCTGATGGGCCGTCTACATCAAGTTCGTTACTTATACGGTGCGAAGAGAGAATCAATTTCCTCAGTAACTGTAGATTGGGGGTAGTCTACTCGCTTCTCCTTCAACGCTGCCATTGAAGAATCCCCAAATTCTTGGTTTTACAGGAATCAGAAATTTCGGAAGAATCTGAATTCAGTCGAAAATTTGGAGCATTTTTGTTCTGTTCTTCTTGTTCGTCATCTGTTCCGAGACGAATGGAGCCGTTTCCGTCGTCATCTCAAATGGCTCAGAAAACCTGGGAGCTTGAGAACAATATCATCCCCGTTGATACTCCTCCGACCACCTCCAAAGCTACAGATTCATCCTCCGATGCGATATTCTACTACGACGAGGCTGCACAGGCCAAGTTCCAGCAGGAGAAGCCGTGGCAAAATGATCCCCATTACTTCAAGCGTGTGAAGATCTCTGCACTCGCTCTTCTTAAAATGGTCGTCCATGCACGCTCCGGTGGAACTATAGAGGTCATGGGACTCATGCAGGGCAAGACTGATGGAGACGCTATTATCGTGATGGATGCCTTTGCTTTGCCCGTCGAAGGTACTGAGACTAGGGTTAACGCTCAGGCTGATGCGTACGAGTATATGGTCGATTATTCTCAGACTAATAAGCAGGTTTTTCTTTTATTCTCTTTGAAATAGTCATTTCTGATTGCTTCCTTTTCAATTAATTGTACGTATACGGTATATGTCTATAGTTTTTTGTCTGACAAGTTGTATATACGTCTGTATGTATGGAGTTTGGGTTTATATGGTCCATTGAGCTTTACATTGAAGGTGAAGGGGTGTACTGAAGTTGAACATATTTCTTGTTTATCCTGTGTTTGTTGTTGATGTTTAGATATCTGAGTTCGTTTAATATGTCATATCATTGATCTAGCGGTTTTGAATTGGTCGAGTTTCATCAGAAATTTTAAATTTCTTGCATACATAATAGTGAATGGTGCTGCCTGTCTATTAAACTAGCTTTGTAGTTCATAGGTTATTCTTTGTGCTGTTGATGGTTGGCTCTCTTAAAGATTATCCTATGATTTAGGCTGGGAGGTTGGAGAACGTCGTAGGATGGTACCATTCTCATCCAGGCTATGGATGCTGGCTCTCGGGGATTGATGTTTCCACACAAATGTTAAACCAGCAATTTCAGGAGCCCTTTCTGGCTGTTGTAATTGATCCTACGAGGACTGTTTCTGCTGGAAAAGTTGAGATTGGGGCTTTCAGGACCTACCCGGAAGGATATAAGCCACCAGATGAGCCCGTTTCTGAGTATCAAACCATCCCACTGAATAAGATTGAAGACTTCGGTGTACATTGCAAACAGGTCTCCTCACTCAATCTTTCATCTTCTCAGATATTTTTTTTTAGTTTAGTTGCCATCGAGTATACTTTTTACTCAATTTTTACATGTCGTTGCAGTATTATGCGCTTGATATTACTTATTTCAAGTCTTCACTTGACTGCCACCTCTTGGATTTGCTTTGGAACAAGTACTGGGTCAATACTCTTTCATCTTCTCCTCTCTTGGGTAATGGAGATTATGTTGCTGGGCAAATCTCAGATTTAGGTATCCTTATCTTTCCTAGAACTCGCTTTATTTACTAACCCTACACAAATCATCCGGTGTGGTTTGGATTTTATATGATTCTTTTTAGTGGTCCATTTTGTGCTTTGCAGCTGAAAAACTTGAGCAGGTGGAGAATCAGTTGGCTCACTCCCGCTTTGGGTCATTAATAGCTCCTGCTCAGAGGAAGAAGGAGGTACTGCATTGTGTCATTTTTCTTTTGCTTTATTCTTCTCTATATATGTATGAATGAGCACATATAATCTTTCTTGTACATGCATTTATCTATGTTGTAAGCTGTAAAAGAATTGTCTATTATTCTGTAATTTGTACTGTAGGGGAATTATGCGTCTTTTTTGTCAGATTTTTTTTATGCTGTAAACCACATTTTACAGAAACCAAGGGTGGTGGGTGTGTTAAAAAATTAGAGAACAGTTGTTTTGTTCCTTTTTTAGGGCTGATACAAAGATTTCGAGTAACTAAGTTTTTCGTGGTTGGACATGTGTCACTCCTTTCATCAGCTCTATGCTTCCTATTCTCTTGTTTTGGAAAAAGTTGGTCCGTCCTTTTAACCAGAGTGCTGGTATGACCATGTGTACTTCAAATGTTGTATTTATCCTACTCTTTTGTTGGTCCTAATGTTATGTCCTGGTTTGGCAGTGCAAAATTCACTTTGATATGTTCTGACAAGAATTCTCTCCTTTTATATTTATTTCTAACTTAGAGAAGATTTAAACTAGATATATGCATACATACTCAGATGTGTGTGTGTGTATATATATATAGATATCAAGAAACAAACAGATTATTTTTCTTTAAATTTGTTGCTTGTTGCTGTCTCCGTATCCACAGTTGGTGCTTATTTTTTGCACATTAGAGATTTATTATATAGAGTGGAACTTAGTGATTCCTAATCATGGATCTTAATTATTGATGTGCTTTGGTCCCATTTAAAGGACTGTCTAGATTAGTATCTGAGTCATGATAGAGCTTTTGTTGCTTCCTGATGAATGAATTTAGTTTATCTTAGATGGCAATACACGACATACATCTCCAAGTGAGCTAGCTGCTCTACGCAACATTTGTTTTAATGAACTCTTGTTTATATTGAAGCATATGTCATATTTTGTAATATCATCCTCCAATTGCAGGAAGACTCTCAACTTGCAAAGATTACTCGCGACAGTGCAAAGATAACGGTCGAGCAGGTTCATGGTCTGATGTCACAGGTGACTAGTGCTAATGCCCACTCTTAATTATCTATTCATTTTGCAAAACAACATCTCAAAGTTGTACATTATTTCCTGCTTAGGTTATCAAGGACATCCTTTTCAACTCAGTGCGACAATCGAACAAGTCTCGGCCAGAGGCATCCGATCCCGAACCAATGGTGGAAAGCTGATGTGCAGGGAGCTGACGAAATCTTAACATCCTGAAGCTCAATATTTCTTCCCCACACCAGGCGAGATCAGAGAAAAAGGTGCAGATTTTTGTTTTGATTGACGGGGTATATTGTTACTGTGTATTTCGATATTGCGCCCGTTTGCGCAGCAATTTCCGAGGACTGGGAATCTTCTTTGGGTTGCCTAGATTAATAGCTAAACGGAATGTTTCTAGTGTACTGTTTTCATTTGTTAATCATAGACCAGGCGATTCACTTCTCAGTCTTCTTCCTGATTGAAATTTAGTCACAGTGCACAGTATTCTATTGGCCACAGAATGGGATTCGCTTGAGGACCATTTGAAGAGTTCTTTTGAACAACTATTGTCTTCTAAACCGACAGGTAAAAATATGTTTGTTTCACAATTTTTGGAAGATGTTCTCTCTTGTTTATTTTTATTTTTTCTAATTTATTTTTACCAGCAACCTTTTTCTCTCTCTCTTCTGTATTTGGGATTTTGCCAGGCTTGTGAATGGTTACAAAATAATTTTAACGTTTCAAACAATTTGATTATAGATGGGTTTTCATAATTGCCAAATAAATTAAATTACCATGGTCCACTTTTGGGACTTTGGAGAGTAGTTCAAACTTAGGCAGTCTTTTTGGTACTTTTAAAAAGTGTTTATTTTGATCTCTATTTGTAAAATTTTAACACAAAAAACTTTGTACACAATGTTCGTTATATATAAATTTATAGCTACATTTTAAATAATTTAGTGAGAGATGTGTCCGAGTTAAAATTATAATGAAAAAAAAAGATAATGGACAAATTAAATATCAACTTATTTATAGATCAATTTGATAATTTTTTTTCCCTGGCAAAGGAAAAGAAAATGAAGAATTTGCCTCTTAAATCTTAATCACTAATGAGCTTGGCTCTTCAGGACTGTAGTAACGTATTATTTGTACATATAAATGTTTTTTTAGTTACCAATTCACCTTTAATCATTTGGCTCAAGTAGAACTTGGATTCAAAATGGTGAACTGAATTAAGTTCGTTAAATTAGAACTTGGATTCAAAATGGTGAACTGAATTAAGTTCGTTAAATTAGGTACTAAAAAAATGGTTAAATTATATTTGTTGATGATGAATTCTGTCAAATATCGAAGGTGAGTATAACTTTCACTCGAATGAACTATATTGGAGCAAGCTATGCAAGAAAAAAAATTTGTAAAGAAGAAACAAACACGTCAAAGCTCACGTAAAGAGGTCGGTTATGTCGCTGTTTGAAAGTCTGTCTTTGTAAAAACCATCTTAGTTTCTTACGAACTTCATAGGTCGGCCTATTATATAGATTGGAATGCATACTTCATCTGAATGGGCCGAGATAAATCTACTGACCAACAATATTAAACTTAATTTAAAATGGATGACCTTAAAGTTAAATAAAGTCATCGAATTAATGAATGAGCTAAAAAACAAAAAGATAAATTCAGCCTCTCCCTCCTCATTTTATTGAATTTAATAATTTAGTTTATAAACTCAACGGAATATTTTTTAAAACCTTATAGATAATTGTTCCAAAAGTGGAAAGCTATTTGGCAGAGCAAATTGGAAAAATTTCAGAACCAGATGCGATTCTGAAATGAAGAGGACATCATTAGAATATTGGATCACTAATGAATAATGATTGCATTCGTATAGTTTCATTTTCATACACTAAAATTTTGCAACCGACGCGTCGCTAACACAATGCGACACGTAGTTCCACAGAATATTTGATGCAATTAATAATCGAAGTATCAATACTTTTTAGTGGTTTACTTCATACAAAATTTGATACAATATTAAAAGTTTTTAATTTTATTTTATTCTTTAAGACTTTATATTTATTTTGTTTTAATCTCAATTTTATTGTCCTAATTCTTGATTAATTAATATTGTTGTTAATCATCATGAGTCGTTCATTGGTTCAAAAGGACTAGATTAATTAAAAGGGAATGAGTTCAATCCCGACACCAAATATTGTAGGGTCATTTGAAGTTGGTTGGATGTATATATCAATTACCGCTGAGCGCTTTGGCAAAGAGATAAAGGGCAGTAATTATACATTTCCTTTAGCCACTTTCCTATGAGAAAGTAGACACTAGTTAAAAGCACCTATTTTTTACTAATCATCATTCAAGTTTTGACACGTAAGAAGAAAAAAAATTACTTTTTATCTTAAAAAAGATAAAAAATGAAGAATTACCAAATTTTTAATAGTGATCAACAAAAAGGTGCTGACCACTAAACATCCAAACCCGACCAATCTTACTAACTTCAATTCTTGAGCTTCGTAGGGAGATGAGAGCTTCCATAGTCACGACTTTCACGACACTTCTCTCCCTACCATTATGTTTAATGAGATTGCAAATGAAAAGTGAAAAAAAAAGAAAAGAAAAAGAAAAAGAAGTGTTCACGAGGAATCATGTTTGGTAATTGGCTTTTGGCCCTCTCTCTTATAAGTCTACTTTGAAATGCTTTTGATTATTATTCACATGCTCTCCCCCTCTCTTTCCCATGATCAAATCTAATACCCTTTTCGGTTTTTTCTTCCCCAAATGGAAAATGCTACCTACATCTCATAGACCCGTGAGCCATATTTCTTTCCAAAGTTTTAATTCACTCGCCCGTCGCTAACATGAACTTAGTTCAATAGTAATTAGCACACGTCAAATCCTATACACTTCATCACTCAATCATTTATAATCGGTTTTAATTTATCCTAGATTCAAAATATATTGGTTAAACTTATCAACTATTTTGGTTTTTATACTTTCAATTTTTGTTTGTTTTACTCACTAGACTTCCAAAATATGATATGTTTTGGTTGTTGCACGTACTTTTCAAAAGTGACCCATTTGGTTCATGTTTACAAAATTTTTAACATGAATTTTATACGCAATGAAAACTCTTTAATACAAATTTATGACTATATTTCAAGAAAGTTAGTGAGTGAGATGTCGTGACAAAACTGTGATTGAAAGAAGTGAGATAAAAATGAAAATGACCAAATTAAAATGGTCACATTTAAAAGTACAAGGACTAAAATTGATGTTTCGAGATTACATTGACTAAGTTGAATAAAAATTAAACTTTTAAAAAGTAGATGGACAAAAGCCGAAAGTACACATGGACCAAAATAGTATTTAAAACACTCGTAAATTAAATCTATATATAAACTTTTAGGGTTGTATATTAAGTTATTGTATTTTAAAACCATTTCTAATAGGGTATTTGAAAGGATTATATCTATATCGTTCTTATATTTTAATAAGGTTCTAATAGACTCCCACATTTTTATCAAAGCGAGCATAACTCAATGATAATTGACATATACCTACAACTAAGAGGTTGTGAGTTCGATCCTCCACCACCACATGTTGTGCTAAGTATATACGTGTTAGAGAGAAATTGAAAAATTAGAGAGAAACTTTTAAAAATATAAGAATTATATAAACAAAATCCTATAAGTTTAGTAGCATATTATAAAATTTTTAAAGTGGGACTAATTTAATAAACACAACTTGAAAGGTCATCCACTAAATTTGTAATTTAACAAAAAAAAAATATATATATATAATTTTAAAAAAATAAGTTTTAATTTTTAGGAGTTCCAAGTTTGAAATGATTTTGGATTTCACCTTTTTTATGTGGTCAAAACCTAGAAGGCAATAATCTCCATTCGTTCTTGCCTTTTTAATTCAAAGTCTCACCTTGAAAATTGATTCTATTCCTTTAATAATATTGGCATTCAAAAGTACTTTGTAGTCAAAGGGGGAAAAAAAGCATTGTAAAAATTTAAATAAACCATTAAAAACAAAATTATTATTAAATGGTGCTTCAAAAATACTATTCTAAAAAATTATCTCAATAATGACTTTCAAGCCCATATGGAAATTGCAAGTTGCAAGCTCGGTCGAAATTAATAAATGAATAATTAACATGGTTAGCTCGAATTACCTATACTGTGAAGTAATTGAGTATTGGGACTTGAACGATTTTGATACACATGTAACATTTTTGTTAGGATGGTTTGAGACTCGGGACCATCTATTTTCGACGGGCTCCCCGCAACGTGCTTATAGGATACTGAGCTAGTAGAGATCATTCATCCAATAGATGTAGACTATTGAAGATTGTTTGAACTGTCTATATTTTTCATATTTGGAGAGCACGTAATTCTATAAATTAATGGAAGTGATTCTCGTCCGACTTGATTATTTTACATTTTATTCAGAGCGATGTTTAGGTTTGTGCTTCTACTTGTCGTAATAGAGTTCATTATACTTTCTGCTCATTGATAGAGTTTGCTTGGAACTTATTTCCATAAATGAGTTATTATGTTGTGTCTCATTTACGAGGCACGTGGCGTGTTTCTTTTGCTGTTTGTTCGCTCTAGTTCCATTGTTGACTTTTTTTATTGATATTTCTGATGTCTTTTTGATAGGTCTCTTTGTTTTATCCGTACTTGATCTTACGTTGGGAGATCCATCTTCCCCTCGCAATAGAAGTTAATTTAGTTTTAATAATTCTCAATCAATTCCCTATCTATATAATATCATTAGAATTCATAAAATATATGACTTTCTATTGGATGTCTTTTAATAGTTTGATTGAGAGAATTGTAAAGTATTCCTATATGTATAATTTTTTAAAAATTAAAAACAAAAAAGTATGACTTGTTCCATCTTTTAATTGCGTTGGGTAGGATGCATATCTTAGTTTTTCTTTTTTATAATAGTAATAATAATAAAAAAGCTCCTAAAAATAATGATGTACGACAAACTGATCTTTATAAGTATTTTGTTCTCATATAAAAGAAATTACTTAATCAAGTTACTTTCACTTTTAAAACTAATTAAAAGATTTTATTCTTGAATTATCTATAATCGTTTCTTATTTCTTGTTATCAACTTTTTAGAAACATAGGCGTTTGGTAACTATTCTTATTTTTTCCAAGAAATATTTTCAAGAGATATTTATTTCTATTTTTTTTTATAAAAGAATAAATAACTAGAAAAATGGTTCCAAACATAGTTCTATTTTTATTTATTAAAAAATAAAGAAATGAAAATTAATATACATAAACACTATCAAACATGCATTTATTGGACAATTTTTAAAGTCTAACGACATATTAATTAAACACGATTTCAAAAAGTTAGAGACTAGACTTATAGTTTATTTTCTTTTTTCCTTTCGAGTTCAACAACATATAGGTGTGGGGATTCGAACC